AGGTTCGTCACTTCGTCCCATCTTCCAGCAGGTTGGGGCGGCAAGTGTTGGATATTGGGGGCGTCCCGATGTTTGTCCACCGGTACGCGGGTAGGGAGCTGACACCCTGCCATAACTTGGATTTCCACAACTTCGAAGCACTTTTCTCCTGCAAACCACACTCGGCTCACGCCTGGTGTCAATTTAGACCCTTTCCACACAGCGCACTGCGAAAACACCACTGCAAAAACACTGCGTAACCTATTGCGCAATGAAAAACACCACACAATTGATCGCAGTGGATTGCAAAACCACTGCGCTGCAAAACCACTGCGCAGCGGGTTGCGGAGCGCCTTTGCAGTGGTATTTTCGCGTGTGCTGTGGAGAAAGAGTTTTAGGATTGACGCTGGGCGTGAGCCGAGTAGGGTTTGTAGGGGCAAAAGTAACAAAAATCCACGTTATGGCGGGGTGTCAGCTCCCTACCCGCGTAACCGGGGCATCATCCGCAGGCTGCAGCGCAGATGCATACCGTATTATTCCATATTATTCCACAAAATTGGCTTTTACTCGGAGACCGTGCACGCCTTGATAGGTTTGTCCGAGGCGTTTTGCAACGCTGTAAGCTAGCCTGTGTTAGCTGTACAGACCCCTATTTTGGTGCCGTAAAGGCCTTGCCGAATACAGCCCATGGCGTATTTATCGTGCAAGGAGCGCTTGATGGCTTTGCGTAAGGCCTCTGATAAACCTATCGAGGCGTGCACGGTGTCCGAGTAAAAGCCAACTTTGTGGAATAATACGGTACCGGGGTCTCTCACAGAAGTGGGATTTACCTAGACCTGGTACAGACCACTTCCGCACGCCACCTCAGCTCAAAAAAGGCAAGCGGCGTACCTATATAACACCTTCCGCAAGAGAATCGCGGCCGCTAAACCTCGTTCAGAGGTTAGTGGCAGTTAATCGCGACTGGCACGCGCCTGGCACGGGGTTTGTAAGGGGGCCTGGTAGCCGTTATACCTAAAAGACGTAAATCTCACTGTTGCGAGAGATTGCGGTACTAGCCGCAGCCGTCAAGGACTTTGGGGTAGTACAAGACGAGGGGAGGGTGTCCCATCACGATCGAATACCGCATCTTGGCATGACCGAAAGGAGCAAGTTGACGACTTTTGACGCCCTGCAGCCCAGTACCGGCGTCTCACTGGCCGAGAATGGACGGCAAGGCAAAATGAGGCTGGATATCGGAACGGTTGACCTCTCAGAACATGTCCTCGGCGAGGTGGGGGAGGGCTGTGGCTGAAGTCGGCAGCCGGTCGCCGGGGGGAGCCGGTACGACTTACACGGTGCCGCCCACCATAAAGCTACATGAGAGGGGCTCGTCCGACGGTTCTGGCTCTTGACCTTGGGTTCTTGAATCCCGGGTTGACGAAAAAAACTAGCTTTGTTTGTTGCTTTGGATGCCTCTCTCCAGTCGTCAATTTGGTTGACACTTCTTGTCTCGGTCTGTGTCAGCGACCAGGACACCATCGAACATGGCTATCATCGATCTCATCGCATCGTTGACGCCAACTCATATCGCAGGGTCAATTGGCCTTGTGGGTGTATACACGCTCTATGGCGTCATATGGCGGCTCTACTTCAGTCCCATTGCCCACATTCCCGGCCCGCGACTTGCAGCGCTGACATGGTGGTATGAGTTCTACTACGATATCATCCTCGGCGGGCAGTATGTCTTCAAGATGAGGGATCTTCACAGAGAATACGGGCCCATCATCCGCATCAACCCCGAGGAAATCCACATCTACGACCCTGACTTCTTCCCCCAGCTCTACGGCGCCGGCCTAAGACGAGACCGCTGGCGCTTCTACACCAAGCAATTCGCGGCCGACGGCGGCGGCATCGGCACTGTCGAACATGACCTCCACAAAATCCGCCGCGCCGCCCTCAACCCCTTTTTCTCCAAACAATCCGTCCGCTCCCTCCAACCTGTCATCGAAGAGCGCGTAAACGCCCTCCTGTCTCGCCTACACTCGGACGGCAAAGCCGCTGAGAAAAAGCCCATCGATATCCTCTACCCCTACTCTGCTCTCACCAACGACATCATCAACGAATACGCCTTCGCCAGGTCCGACCATCTCATCGAAGACCCATCGTACGGGAAACCTGTTACCGATCACTTCCTCACTGGCACTCACTACGGCAAATACGTCCAACACTACGAGATCGTCCTGACCCTTATCAGCGCCCTGCCCGAGTTCATCTCGGGTGCTCTCGTCCCTGGCTGGCGAGGCTTCCTCAAGATGAAGAAGGATATCCACGCTACCATCGCCGCCATTGCCAAAACCCAGCACACGGCCCGCTGGGAGCTCGACGTCTCCCACCGCACCATCTTCCACGACCTGCTCTCCTCCGAGACCCTGCCCCCTGCCGAAAAATCCCTCGCCCGCCTTGCCGACGAAGGCCGAACCATCGTGCAAGCTGGCACTCTCACCTCATCATGGGCCCTCGCCATCGCAAATTTCCACCTCCTTCACAAGCCACACATCCTCGCCCGCCTGCGAGCTGAACTCAACGCCGCCATCCCTGATCCAAACGTGGCCGTTCCCGTAGCGGAGCTAGAAAATCTCCCCTTCCTTCGCGCCATCATCAAGGAAACCCTCCGCCACTCCTTGGGCGCCTCCGGACGCTCCGCTCGCGTCTGTCCCGACGAGACGCTTACATATACCCACACCACCGCGTCGGGGGAGACCAAGTCGTATGTGATTCCGCCAGGCGTCCCAGGTATGTCAAACCATCATCCTGTCCTCATTGCTACGATGAAACCGTTGGACTAACAGATTATACCATCAGTGGGAATGTCCAACTACCACACCCTCACCAACCCGGACATCTACGCCGACCCCTTTTCCTGGAACCCAGACAGGTGGTTCGGCCCGGACGCGGAGAGACTGGACAAGTACTTTACCGTCTTTAGCGGCGGCGCCAGAGCTTGTTTGGGACTCTGGTTGACCCAGGCGGAGATGACGTTGGCGATGGCGAGGCTATGGAGGATTTGGGATGGGCCTGGCGAGGAGGGCGGAAGGGGAGAGGTTGGGGGAGGGCGGATGAGGCTGTTTGAGACGGACGAGAAGGATGCGATGATGGCGGCGGATTACTTCATTCCGATTCCCTGGAAGGGGACAAAGGGGATTAGGGTGGTGCTGGAGAGTTATGAGTAGGTAGGTGGTGGTGGGTACGTTGAGACATGGGGGAGGTTTTCTTTGGCCTTGTTGCCGGAGGGATGGGTCTTTGTTTTGAGAGAGCATGGAGGAGTTTATGGCCTCCTTTCGTCTTTGATGATGCCCATGTACTTCATAGCCGTGGTCCGTCTCTGTCACCATCTGCCCAGGGAGTCAAGAGCCTCTCTTCTCGCACGACTGGTATCATCCCTGACGGACTCTGAACTCAAGAGTTGCGAGCCAGATTTGAAGAAGTGGGCAAACGTGATCAGAGATGAAGCCGACCTGCTCACAAGCGAGACTGTCGAGGAGCAGAGCTCACGGGTAAATCGCCGCACGCTGAAGTTCTCTGACTCAGAAATCCACCGTCAAAAGGAAAGGGCACGCATACGTTTGCTGCAGTAGCCTTGTCACTGTCGACGAAGAGCAGTTGACTGAGGTTGATTCACCATTCAGTCAAGCAATTTCTTCTCCAATCTTCTGGTACTGATGGATTTGACCTACCTTCTGCTGACAAATTACTCGGCGAGATTACCATCAATCTGACCACGGCGTGTTCTACACCCAGTTGTCGGGGGTTATTGTCCCTAACGTCTCGGTTGACGCTACCGCGTCCAAGATGGCTGGACCGCGTCATGTGCGCAATCTCGTCTTGAAACTTTTACAGTCAAATCGGCAATCCAGGAGCGAGCTCGATGTCGGCAGTCCTCGCAGAAATTGGACGATACCGTATTAAGGTATCTCGAAATATTGGCCTTTACTTTTGCCTCGTGCACACCACTTATGCTGGCCGCAAGCAAGAATCACCGGCGGATCGCAAAGTGTCTGCTCGACGCAGGAGATGGCGTCACAAATGCGGAAAAGGTACCAATCTAACGCCCCCTGTTGCTCGCGATCATTGGCGGCCACCTCGAGATGGCTCGGTTGCTTCTCGAACATGGTGTTGATACCTAGGTATCAGGGCTGGCTATAGCCGAGCGCAACACACCCCCGCTTGTAGCTGCCATCAAAGCGAACCACATCTGCCACGTTGGAGTTGATGAACTGCTTCTTGAAAAGGGAGCCGATGTCGAGCTCCAAATAAAGTATTTAGGAAAGGAGCTTATGTTGCCACTCACATTTGCCATCGAGAACTGCTGCTCAGCCGATCTGATCCGGCCATTGCTGCAAGGGGGAGCGAAGCCGGATCCTACCTGGAAAAAGCGATTCAGACTGGCCGAATAATAATTGTGGAAGCTCTTTTGGACCATGGCGCGAGGATAAACCCACCTGGTGACCGCAGCCCACTCTGCATGGCTGTTGAGAAGGGGGATAGAAAAACGGTTGATTTGCTCCTGCAGAGGGGTGCAACAGTTGAGCCATACGTACTGAATTTCGTCTGTCCGCCCGATCACGAAATTCTCAACATGTTTCTTCAAAGCAAGCCCAACAATTGCCAGCCTGGTGCAGGGCCGTGGTGGTCCTATACCCGGCGCCAAAGGGGACGGCTATCAGCTTTGCCCACATGCAGGCATACAACGGGGTGGCAGTTGTCCACGCTTCAATACAAGGGTGAGCAACAGTTGCCTGCGTACGAAACTTCCTACCGGATCATTGCTGGTCCGAAATCTGGGACGTGGGCATCCATCAGTTCGACAATCCCCAGCAGAAGACGGCCAGGCTTCGCTGGGCGCTCCTCCAGCCAATATCATTGCTGCACTCTGAAAGTTGCACCCCCTTTCCCGACTTCGGGGCCGGCGGTTTGATTAGGAAGGGGGCAAACGGTTCTTATCACTCTTTTCCCCGAACCACAACCAGCGACTTGAGGAAGCGGGTTTAGCTCAGTTGGGAGAGCGTCAGACTGAAGTCTCACTTCAATCCATCAAGATTCCTTGATATCTGAAGGTCATGTGTTCGATCCACATAAACCGCAAGCACAAAATTTTTGTCATTTTTTCCGGCCACTTTCTTTTTTTGTGTGGTCTTGGTTGTGGAGTTTTGTGATGCATGATGGCGTGGCGTGCGTCTGCGGGTGAGGCGACGGCTCAGGGGCTCAGGGGTAAATAGGGTGATGGCCTGAAAACGCGAAGCGAGCAAATTCATAGGCGCAGGAGCTATAAATACACATTGGCCTTCTCCTCCTGCTCTTCTGGTTCGTCATTAGATGGTCATGAGAATGGCGAGAACTGCACCTTCGGTGAACCCCAAGGACGTGCCAAGACTCCTAACTCACGTGAGTTTAGTCTCATGCACATCACTTCGCGGGCCGAACCGCTGTGGGTCTCGGCAGTCAACTGCCGGGCAATGGGTCAACGCCGTTAGAAACGAGGCTAGAAGGCTGGAGTTAGCTGAGGAGTCATCCAGTGGCCGAGAAGTGATCATAGGTTTGTATATTGCCAATATAAGCCGCCCTGAGGAAGAAGCAACTGTTCTGATTGGCGACAACCTCTTGGGGTTGGTGACAGCGACTCCACGGGTGAGGTCGTCAACTGATATTTGCTGCGGAGAATTGGTGAACGGGAGCCCAAGCCCGGCACACGCCCATCTCCTGGTTCCAGACCATCATGTTAATCCAATCAAGAGACTTGCCGCTGTATGTCACCCAGGCGCGCCAGTTTCTGCCCCGTCGTGCACAATAGATTGCATCTGTATTATTGCCAGCCAGCGGTTGTCGTGACCAACTTGCCCAACTATTTCCCGTAAAATATACCGCCCCGCCCCAAATAAAACACCCCTAGAGTTTCTGCGCAGAATTCTGGTTCAAATTACAAAAGACACATTAAGTATGTCCGATGAACCCCGGTAGGCCAGCCTGCGTTTTGAGCTCAACCCAAATTTGCTCTCAGCTTCGCCTCACATAACGCCTGACATTGTCTAGAGGATCAAATTTGCTGTGGTTATGGTGATGATCCAATGGTCCCGACCCTCGGTCGATAGTTGGTCTTGCGAATCTGCTTGACACCGGAGAGGAGGGGTTGACACTTGACTTGGTAGTCTCTGTTTTCGGCGTTGACAACAGTGAAGTGGTGCCTACCGTTCCTGATGAAGCATTCAGCACCTAGTCAAGCAAATAGCCGTGGGTAATGCTCACCAATGCTGCCTCTGGCCCCAGTTGTTGCGTTCGGCCATCTCAAAGAGGACCGCAAGGTCAAGAACGTGGTCTCGTTACAGGAAGATGTGGGAGTAAAGCCGGGAGTGTATCTTGGCGTGTAATGAGTTGTGATGCGAGGTTTCTTTGTTGTACTTGCCAACGGTGTGTGAGTCTTGTTAGAAGCGGATGTGGGCTCTGGATCAGGGATCCAAATTGGTGTGCAGGTCGAATCCCAGGAGAGAGTGCCTGTTCCGTTGATCCATGGATATGGAGGTGTTGATATGGGGCTTGGCCTTGCTGTGATGCTGGATGACCATGCGCCGGGTCGTGTCGAAGAGCTGCCTGTCGGCAGGAGAGGGGCCGTCGTTAAGCTTGATCTACTTGGATTGGGCGTTGCGGATACGGTTCCGGCCCCGGTGCCCGTGGGCCTTCCACTTACTGGTCTTGGCGACGAGGTAGAATTTGTTACGGGATAAGGCGCAGTAACGGAAGGTGCCATGGAGGGAGTTGCACTGGGACCGCCTGTGCTGAGGGGACGAGAGGAGAGTGCTGACCCAGTGCTGCGAGGTCCAGACGCCCCGGTGCTGAATCCAGTGCCCAAAGTTGGGGACGACGAGTTGGTGTATGGAAAAGGCACAGATGAGGATTTCGGTGGCTGCTCGGAAGAAGGAGCGGTTGGTCCTCTACCTGAGGCCGAGCTTGGGGATGGTGCAGCTTCGGAGCTGGGGTAAGTTGTTGGCGAACCCATAGTTGCAGTTCCTGAAGGGTAGCTCGTTGGCCTACCGAATGAGGTAGTATTAGAAACCGGGAACGGAGGCTTCGCAGACGTCGCTGATAGCGTGGGCACAGAGCTTTCGCTTGAAGAACCCATCCCGATGCTCGAGATACCAGTCGGACCAGTTGATCCGACTGTGAGGCTGGAGTTGGAGAGTGGGTACGGCACCGTGGACGAAAGTCCACTTGAGAAGGGAGTCTGGGCGGTCCCGGTGCTAAGAGCTGTGCCAGAGCCCGGAAGTGAACCGGAAGAAAACCCCGTGCCGGTCACAGCTCGAGATGTTGAGTTTGAGATAGGGAACGGTGGTAACGTTGATGTCGGCAGGGAAGTGGGTACGCTGCCGAGACCGGATGAAGACGCAGTGCCCGTGCTGCCTCTGTTCGTAGGGGTAAATGGGGTGGTTGTTGGTGCTGCGGCAGTGGCATTGGTTCCTGTTGGGCCCACCCATGATGTTGAGTTGGAATACACGAACGGTGCCGTGCTAACGGAGGATGTAGGCTGACCTGCCTCTCCAGACCCCGAAACAACCGACATGGGACTGGATACTGGACTGGTTGGGTTTCTAGTCCCAGTTCCTGTTGGCCCGGCGATGGTCGTTGCATTCGAGATCGGGAACGGAGGAATGCCCCCTGTGGGTAAACTGCTGACTCCACTCCCGGTTCCTGTTGGTGCAGCAGAGGCTGTCGTGTTGGAAATGGGAAATGGCGGAACACTTGCTGTGGGTAGGCTACTGAGTCCAGTTCTGGTTCCGGTCGGCCCAGTAGTTGCGGTTGAGTTGGAGATTGGGAATGGTGCGGTGGGAATTGACGAGAAGCCCCCAGTTCCAGTAGGTACCGACGTTGAAAGGCCTGTTCCAAGGGTTGGGGTGAAGGATACGCTCCCCGGGGGGGTTGTGCTTGGGGTTGCTGTTCCGTTGAAAAATGGGGGAAACGCAGTTGCTGTCGAAGCGCCCCCAGTCCCTGAGCTTGGTGCTGTAGGGCCGCTGCCACTACCAATCGGGCCACTGTATAACGTCGTGTTGGAGAATGGAAATGGGGCAGTGCTTGCGGTACTACCCGGTGTTATTGTTTCAGTGGGGCCTACAGTTCTTGATGTTCCGTTCGAGATTGGGAACGGTGTGGTCTCTGAGATTGAAGGAGGCGAAGAGACGCCAGTCCCAACAGAGGGACTGGCCGAAACAGCCCCGCTTCCTGGAAGACTCGAGGTGGAGGTTGCATTGGAAAATGGGAAGGGCATTGTGGTTCCTGTGAGAGCCGAGGCAGTTGAAGTTCCGCTTGAAGGGGTAGGGAGTGTTGGGGATGTTCCGGTTCCTGTCGATCCTGGAGCTAGTGTTGCGTTGGAGATAGGGAACGGCGCTTCACTACCCGAAACCTGAGTGGCCGTTGTCAAGACAGATGACAGAGTCGCCCCTCCGGTCCCCGTACCAGGACCAGTCCCGGTGGTCGTATTTGAGTAGGGGAAGGGGGCGGTCGAGAGCCCAGGAGGAAGTGTTGACGCCTGTGGCGTTGTCCCAATCCCTGTGCCAGACCCGATAGGCCCTGAAGTTGATGTTGAGTCGGAGAATGGGAAGGGGACAGAACTTCCAGGAGTGAGTCCACTGAAAGTCGTAGTTCCGGGTACTGGGCCCGAGGCCGCGGTACCTGGTGATGAGCTGGCAGTACCCGTTCCGCCGGTCGGAAATCCCCTTGTCGTGGAGTTAAGCAGTGGGAATGGGGCGGTGTTGCTGATAGGATATGAGGAGGAACCTAGCCCGGTGCCGGAAGGTGAGGATGTCTGTGGCGGTGCAGTCCCGGTTGGTGCCAAAGGTGATGTTGTGTTCGAGATAGGGAAGGGAGTGGCAGACGCCGTAGTGGTACTCGTTGTTCCATAAGCAACACTTGGGAATGTGTTGCTTCTGGATGGTCCAAGCGATGTGGTAGAGCCGCTCCCCGTTGGGCCTACCGTTCTCGTAGAATTGGATATAGGGAAAGGGGCCGAACTCTCAGACGGATACAACGATGAAGACCCAATACTGTTGCTAGAGCCAACGGGAATAGAGCCAGAACTTAGGAAAGGTGTTGTAAAGCCCCTACTTCCTGTAGCAGTCGGGGCCAGAGTGGTGGAATTGCCGATCGGGAACGGCGCAGCTGTCTCTGACGCTGATGGAGTTGTTGAACTGCCAGTCCCAGGAGCTCCAGAAGAGGCCGTGTATCCTGTGCCTGATGGTACAATTGTGTATGTGGAATTGAGGGTAGGGAAGGGGGCTGAGCCTGGGGACTGTGTTGGGACGGTGGTAAGACTTCCGGACCCAAATGGAGCCGTCCCAGATGGGGCCGAGCCTGTTGGGCTAGCCATGCTGGTTCCATTGGTTATCGGGAATGGGGCAGTCGAGGTTCCGCCTGTGGGCTCTACACCACTTATCTCCGTGCCGGAGCTTGAAGGTGTACCTGAAATTCTAGTTGACAGGCTGCTCAAAGCCGTTGAGTTGGCTGGCGGGAAAGGGAGAGATGCTGAGGAGATCCCTGTAGTCGGTGCCAACCCTCCAGTACCAGTTGAACTTCCTGTTGGGCCAGCAGCTGTCGTAGAGTTTCCAATTGGGAATGGCGGTGAGCTCGATATGCTCAGGGAGCTTGGTGCGACAGAAGAGCCTCCGGGTGGAAGAGACCCCGTCACGGTGATGTTGGAAGGCAGGAGAGATCCAGAAGTGGAACCAACAGCCGGTGCGGAGGTATAGACGCTGGAGGCTCCTGTCCCAGATGAGCCAGGACCTGTTCCGGTTCCGGGAATGGAAGTAGTTCTATTCGAGATTGGGAAGGGAACACTCGAGGTCAATGGAACAGTGAAGGAAACAGTTCCCCCGGAAATTGTTGGACTGCCGCTAGGAAGCGAAGCTGAGCCGGTTGGCGGCGTCGGTGTGATGCTGCTTGTCTGAGAGGACATTCCACTTTCTGAAACAGAAAGAGTGGTATTCAATCGGGATGCGTAAACGGAAGTTGACTTGCTTGGCTGGACTGACGTAGGGATGTTGACTGTCGTCCCACTTCCAAGTCCCGTTGATATACTTGTTGGGAGGACCCCTGCTGTGGAA